TACCCTGTCATCCCCAGGAACAACATCCCTGTATTCACACTTCACATCCCTTCCCCGCCATCCCTGACCCCAAATCCCTGCCTGTTTTTGGGATCCATCACTGCCGTGGTTTTGCTCAGTCTGTTTTTTTTTTTTTTTGGTGGAGCTAAGCAGGAGCACAGAGCAGGCTCAGGGTGATTACCTAAGGAGTTGCAGCCCGGAGTGGGACATTTCATGTTGAAGTTGTAGCTCTCGTGGAAGCGGCGGCGTTTGGGCCGGTGTGAGAGGTCACTGCCTGARTCCTTCATGGACATGTCCTTGGCAATGCTCTCGTCGTGGGACACGTTGGGGCTGGAGATGTCGATGTCGGACTCGGAGGAGGGCGCGTTCCCCGTGGGGGTGCGTGGGGGGGACTCGTCGTGATCCGCAGCGTTTTTGGTGTCTGGGTGAAGAGCAGAGCACACAGAGCTACAGGGAAAGCTCCCAAAAACGCCTCAGGAACGGGGATTGCTCAGCCCTCCCGTCCCTCCATACCTCTGTCTGAGAAATCCACGGCCTGCTCGGTCTCGGAGCCCGAGGAGCGCGTCTGGCGCAGCGGGTACTTCTTGGGGGTGACGGGGGCCGGCTGCTGCTGGCTGCGGGTCACCCTCCGTGTGGAGTACACGGGCTCGTCCGGCCCGAAGGGCGGCGGGTTCCGCACCGGGCTGGAGTCTGGGTGGGACAAGGCATGGTTACAGCACAGTGACATTCACAGGGACATGGGGACAGAGTACGGACATGGGGACAATGCAGGGACCACGGTTACAGCACAGTGACATTCACAGGGACATGGGGACAGCACAGCAACATTCATGCAAATGCACGGGGACAGCACAACGACATTCACAGGGACCGTGGGGACAGCAAAGGGACATTCATGGGAACACATGGTTACAGCACAGCAACAGCACAGCTACCCCACAGGGACCACAGGGACACCACAGCAACATTCATGGGAACGCATGGTTACAGCACAGYGACATTWACAGGGACATGGGGACAGTACAGCAACATTCATGGGAACACACGGGGATAGCACAGTGACATTCACAGGGACCGTGGGGACAGCGCAGGGACCAYGGGGACAGCACAGCAACATCCATGGGAACACATGGGGACAGCACAGCGACGTTCACAGAAACCACGGGGACAGCACAGGGACATGGGGACAGCACAGCAACATCCCCAGGGACCACGGCAACTGTGCAGGGACCATGGGGACAG